CCTTCCTGCTTAATGGCAACCGCTCACAATGGATTAACGCCCATACCAGACTACGTCAGGGGTGTCCGTTGTAACCATATCTCTTCATTCTTTTCTCGGAGCTCCTCACAAAGGTATTCAATCAGGTTGGTGATCGCCTTGGGGTGCAGATTGTGGCCAAGGGGGAGCGGGTGTCGCATCTCTTGTACGCTGATGATATTTTAGTCTTTGCGGAAGCCAGTCTGGCCAATGCAAAGCGCATCAGTGGAATCTTGGTCGATTATTGTGGTTTGATGGGGCGAAAAATTAATATCAATAAGTCGGCCATTCTTTTCAACAAACGCTGCCCCAGATGGAAAGGAAGAAGGATTGCAAGGCTATTGGGCTACAATACGGTTTCCTCGTTGGAGTACCTTGGGCTCCCGTTGCTTACAAGGACGTTGATGAAGTTGGATTTTTCTAGAACTGTGAATAAAGCTGCGGCAAAGGTTAATGTTTGGGGGAAACGGCATCACTCCCTTGCGGGCAGGGCTACCCTCATTCGTACTTCTTTGCTTACTGTCCCTATGTATTATATGACATTGTCAGGGATCTCTAAGGGCAGTTTGGAGTATATTGAGAAGATTGGGAGGCAAATTCTTTGGCAGAAAAATCAGAACAGTAGGGGTTACATTATGTGGCTTGGAGCGAGCTGTGCAAGCCAACCGATATGGGTGGCCTGGGCTTTCACTCGGCTTTGGATTGGATTGGTCCCCTTTGGGCAAGACTTGCCCTTAATTTCATACAGCAGCCCGATGCTCTTCTCCACAGAATTTTGCGGGAGAAATATGGTGATAATCCGTGGATTGAGTGGCCTGGGCGGAATGTGTCTGTCTCTTGGAGAATCATGAACGACGGGGCCAATGCGCTGCGACCAATCATTTGGTGGAGGATTGGGGATGGTAAGACCGTGAATGTCCTTAGTGACATTTGGGTCCTGGATCGGAGGATTGACAATTAGCCGACGTTTGGAGATATGGGTCTGCTTGAGCATAGTAAGGTGAACCAGCTACTCACGGATGATGGGGTGTGGGATGTTGGCAAAGTACGCGATTGTTTTGGCGAAATTATGGCTACTCGTATCTTAGCCATTCCTACCAATCAAGCGGGGGGAGGGGACTTCCCGGAACTCATAAATCTAAGAGAAGGCCGCACGGTTACAGCTCTGGCTTATTGTGCTATCTTGGGGACGATGGCCTACCCCTTCTTGTGGATAAAAAAGCTCAAGCTCCATCCCAGGGAGAAGCTCTTTTAGTGGAGATTACTTCGTGATGCCATCCCTACTAACATCTGGCTTGAGCGGCAAAATTTGGAGAATAGTTGGCAGTGCCCATGGGGTTGTAACAAAGAGGAAGATACGGAGCATTGCACGATCCGGTGCAGTTTTTTGAAGTCAATCCTTAACAGCTGGGTCGGTAGGGCTTCTCTTTGCCGACCGCAATTCCTTGGAGGAGCTGGTCCGAAACCTTGAGTTGTTGGCAAGACATAATCCCGGTCTTGGCATGATCTTTTGCTCGGATGTCTACCAAGCCTGGCGGGCTCGTAATGATAAGAAGCATGGTCGCAGTTGGGGATCCCCGACGGTCTTGGATGCTACATTTCTGGGTGCCTTTGCTAAGCCCTACTTGATGCCTTTTTTGGAGCAATGGCACATCAATCAGCCCTCTGGGCTGCCCGATCCTAAAGCATGGTGTGTCCCCCCTCCCAATTGTCTTAAATTCAACTTCGACGCTTCACTGCTTCCGTCTAACATTGCGGGACTGGGATTGGTCGTTCGTGACCATGTGGGGAATTTGATTGTGGCGACTGGACAACAGATTGAGCATTGGGATGCCGCTACTGCCAAACTTCTTGCGGCAAGCACTATTAAAAATGTCATTGAAGATTGGATGTTTGACCGTGCGGGTATCATTATAGAAGGTGATTTCTCCAATATAATTGAATGGCTTCAAGAGCTACGTCACCACCAGCACAGGCTTCATCGCCTTGGGGATGGCCCGAACTTCTCTTTTTTGACTCAATTTCATCAAGTCTTATTCAATCGGGTGCCTAGATCTAGCAACAAGCCGGCCGACTTTTGTGCCCGTAGGGCTTTAGAGGGTGATTTTGTTTGGAATGATGTTTGGAGTGATGGCATTCCTGCCACTTTTGTCTCCGTGTTGCGAGAGGAAAGTTATAGGATTTAGCTTCTTGTTTTGTAATTTTTTATTTCTGTTCTAATGCAAATGCAATCTTCAAGGAACCCAAAAACTTTGGGTGTTGAGGTTCTTCATTTGTTTCCACTCCTTTCTCTCACTAGAGTGTTTCTTAGTGTGAGAAGCTCTAGGCATGGCGGGGGGAGACAGGCGGTCTCCTCCCCACTCCGACGAGAATGGTGGCGGTGAAGGTGCGGCGAGTGGTGGTGAACGGGATAGGAGGCGGTCTGGTGTGGGATCTCAAGTGGGTTACAAAGGTGGAGAGATTAAATCCTCGGCCAAGGTGGGCGTGGGGAAGTTGGCGGGAAAGGCACTAGCGGCTGCAAGGGCTTCGGCTGATGATGGCGGCGTTGGAACACGTGGAGCCAAAGGGGCGGATGGTGCTGGAAATGACCAGGGTATCACGTGAGGAGGGCCGTCTGCACCCAAATCGGCTGGATCGAGCCTTGACGGGGGGGTGAAGCTGGCGCGGGAGTCAGCCCTGCTGCCATGTGCAAACACGGCGAAGGAAGAGGGCAATGCTGCTATGGAATTCGAGCTGGCCATGGACCGGGTGGAGGCAGCTGCTGATGCGGAAGCTGCGTCTGTAGCTAGGAGAGCTATGGCACTTGAGCTGGCGGCCGATTGTGTGCGGACGGCAGAGGCGGGGCGCCAGGCCGTGGGTGCTGGAGAAAAAATGCTGGATGGGGCCTCCCAATGTCCGAAAACCTAGCTGAAGGCTGCTGCCGATGGTGACGGGGGAGGTAATACTGACATGTGTATGGAGGATGGTATGTCTAGAGAGGCGGAGGAGGGTAGCCCCGCTCTAGGTGTTAACCTCCAGTTTTTTGTTGGGCTGTGGTGGTGGGTTTCCTCCCACTCGCGCACAAGGTGCTTGTCAATTTTCCCCAACAGGATAGCGGACTGCGGTCTTCGGTGAACAAGCGACGGTCACTGCTCCAAGTCCCTCGGCTAACGCCTGGAAGAAACTGGAACACATTCGAATCACGGAGGAGGTGGCGCAAGGCGCTTTCACCACGGATGGCATCTCGGTCAACCTACATATGGATTTGGTAGAAAAGCGGATCCACGCCTTGGACAATGCCATGGTTGGCAAGATCATTGGCAAAAGACTACCATTTTTTGTGCTTAGTGCGGAGGTCAAGTGGCAATGGGGTCGATTTGGAGACTACAACCTCACCACCATTGGGGCTGACTGTTTCATTTGCCACTTCAGCTCTGAGGAGGCTAGGGACGCTGTCCTCTGTGGGGGACCTTGGTTCTTCAGTGGGAACATAGTGGGCCTTGACCGTTGAACCCATACGTTCTCACCTAACTCCATGGCGGGACTTTCCTCTCCTGTGTGGATTCGGCTCCCTCAGCTCCCGTTACAGTATTGGGACCTCCCTAACATCATGCGAATTGCCACTCAGTTTGGGACACCGTTGTGGATTGATGCCCAAACGGGGGGCGAAGGCCGACGGGAGTATGCTCGAGCGTGTGTTAGGCTGGACTTGGCCAAGCAATTACAAACGGGAACATGGGTGAATGGATGGAAGGGACGGTTCTATCAAAGAGAGGAATATGAGGGCCTCGGGATGTCGTGCTTTGGCTGTGGCAGGGTTGGTCACAAACAGGAGCAATGTCCCAACCGAAAGGAGCCACGGGTTGGGGGTGTGGCAGGGACACCGACGGCAGCGACTAAAGGGAAGGCTACCATGGAAGGGGGTGGGTCTAGCGTTGCTTCGACAAGCAGGCCAAGAAGAAATTCTTTGGAGGCTAGCACGAAGGTGGTGACACCTTCCGCTAGGGCGGGATCGTCTGGCCGTGCTAGCACTACGGGATAGAGGCTGACTGTGAATGAGGAGGTGGTGATCACGCCAGCACCTTGTATAGCGGGGCAAGTGGCCAAGGAGGACAATGTACGGGAGCTCACGGAGGATGAGAAGTAATTCGGTGAATGGAATCTTGTCCCCCCGAGGCGGCGGTAGGGGAGTCAGTTGAAGCAGGGCCAAGGCGCGGCGGAGAGCAAACCGCTGCGGGAAAATGTTCCACGACAAGTGGACCTCAAGGAGGTTGGTGAGCCGTCTAAGGGCAGAAGCAAGGAGAACCTTAAACCAAGTTGGCGTAAACTTGGTGTTAAGGAGCCCACCTTGTTTTCGGCAGGGGTGGGATGGGATAGACCAAGGCTTGGTGCTTCCAAGGCCCATTTCCAAAAGGAGCTACGAGCTCTCAGGCCTATCGAAGCTGGACCGAGGAAACGATGCAAGGAGGGTGACGTTGGCACGAGTGGTGGGGACGCTTCCCCTATAGTTGATCAATGACCCACATCCTTATGTGGAATTGTAGGGGTGCCTGGAAGAAGAACACGGGCAACTTCCTACGCCACCTCATTATTAGTAATGAGGTGGGGCTTGTGGGATTGGTGGAAACAAAGGTTGAGGATCTCAACCGCATGGATGTAGACCTACTGGTTGGTCGTAATTGGGAGTTCTTTCACTTCCCGGCTGTCGGCAAATCTGATGGACTGCTGGTGGTGTGGAGAGGAGACATCCTGAAATTTGATGTGGTCACGGCCACAGACCAATGTGTGGTCGGTACTGTGGTCTTACCCTCCTTGCAACGATGGTTGGTGATCCTTGTCTACGCTAATAAGGATTACCACATCAGACGAAGGCTTTGGGAGACTATTGGCTCGTCCATGATCATGAATACCCCTACAATTGTAGGGGGCAACTTTAATTGCTGCCTTTCGCAGTCAGAAAAGAAGGGGGGAAGCGTTTTTACTTTTTAGCAGGCGCTCAGGAAATGGCTGAAGCTTGTGCTAACTGCGATCTCCATGATTTGGGCTTTTCAGGACCAAATTTTACATGGTCAAATAATGAGGGAACTAGCAGGATATGGGTCCGCATTGATAGAATCCTTATTAATTGTGAGGGATTGAACGCTGCGCCTTTCGCCTCGGTGAAGCAGCTGAACAGATTGTCTTCCGACCACTGTCCGCTCATTCTCAGCTTAGGATCGGACGGTGTCAGGCCAAGCTCTAAATGGCTCCGGTTCGAGGACGTGTGGTTGAGCTACCCGGTATCCTGGAAAATTGTGGTGAAGGCTTGGGGCAGAACGGACTTCGGCTGCCCGGTCGAAGTGGTGAACAAGAAATGCAATAGAACATTACGAGCCCTCAATTTCTGAAGTAAAAATCGGATACGCGAACTGGGGGCACATAAAGGTGAACTTGAAAATAAAATTCTTGAGTTACAGCTCGTTGACTGCTCGGATGATGGCCTCACCCCAGAACAAGACGTGGAGCTCCGTAATGCTGTGGGGGAATTCAATTTGACACTTGCTAGGCTTACGACCTGGTGGCGGCAGTGGGCGAAAGTCCGCTGGATTGAGGAGGGCGACGCCAACTCGCATTTCTTCCATACGGTGGCTACTGCTCGGCGACGGTCTAACCGTATTGAGGAACTCCAAACTCGGGATGGCGAGACTACGCGCGACCCCAAGGTGATCCACGATGAATTCTGGCACTTTTTTCGGACAAGTGAAAAGCCAGAAAAACCAACTTTGATCGTTGGCCAACATTCACGGCTGAGGATATGATCTCTGAACATGCTCAAGCTTTGCTCGAGGAGGAGATTGATGATGAGGAGATCCGCAAGGCCATTTTTAGCTATGGGAATAACCGAGCCCCAGGCGCCGACGGTATCACTTCTTCCTTTTTGAAATTTTATTGGTTAATCATAAAAGACGATGTGTGTGCTGCTGTTAGGAAATTCTTTCAAGCCGGCACAATGAGCGAGAAGGTGGTGGCTAAGATCTTGGTGAACTGACTCAAATTGGTCCTTGTGGGACTTATCGGCGAGGAACAAGGCGCGTTCGTGCCGGGTTGCTCAATCTCGAGCCACATCCTCTTGGCTCAGGAGATCATGTGTAAGTTCCAGCACTCGACCCTCAAGGATGGGCTCATGGCGGCCAAGGTTGATATGGAACAAGTGTACGATTGCATGGCTTGGCCGACCCTCTCCCGGGTGATGACAGCCATGGGATTCTCCCCTAATTTTATTAACTGGATTATCCAATGCACTACTCGACCCCGATTTTCCCTTTTGCTTAATGGAAATCAGTCGTACTGGATTGTTGCCAATAGCGGTTTCCGTAAGGGATGCCCGCTCTCGCCATATCTTTTCATCCTCTGCTCTGAACTTTTGACTAAAGGTTTCCGGCAGAGAGGGGAAAACCTTGGAGTCCAGATTATTCCTAACGGAGAATGGGTGTCGCACTTGCTCTATGCCAACGACATCCTTGTGTTTGCCGAGGCTTATCGGGCAAATGCTGCTAGAATTATGGCGGTCCTAAATGACTACTGTGCCTGGACGGGGCAACGCATCAACAATCTGAAATCGGCAATCCTGTTCAACAAACATTGTCCAAGATGGAAGGGGCGGCGTATCTCCAATTACACGTGATTCCGGCTGGTCAGCTCCTTTGACTACCTCGGATTGCCTATGGCCATGCGTAAGCTGCTTGCTTCCGATTTTAGCAAGGTCCTTTGCAATGCAAACAAAAAGGTTGATGTCTGGGGGCGTCAGCATCTGTCACTTGCTGGCTGGGCGACCCTTATCCGCACTGCCCTCCTTGTGGTGCCTCTTTACTACATGACTCTTTCGGATGTTCCTAAAGGTATCCTAACTGCCATCGACAAAATTGGCCGGCATTTCCTCTGGAGGAAGGAGGGAAATCAAAGGGGTATGCACTATGTGGCGTGGAACGATGTCTGCCAGTCACAGTCTTTGAGGGGCTTGGATTTCACTCGACAACTCAATGGCAAGGCCCGCTGCGGGCTCGTCTCGCTTGGGATTTCCTCCGCAAACCTACGGTTTTGCTTAATCAGCTGCTTCGTGCTAAGTATGGCAATGATCCGTGGAAGGTCCACACGGGCCGAAATACCTCGATTAGTTGGAAGGCTATTAATGATGGTGCGGCTGCCCTCCGGCCTATCCTTCGCTGGCATGTGGGAAACGGGCAATCAGTTGACACTCTGCGGGATACATGGATACTGGATCGTCGGCTTGACCGTTGGCTGACCTTTGTTAACATGGATGGACTGGAGGATACTTGTGTTGGCAGTCTTCTCAATGATGATTGGAACTGGAACCGCACCGAGGTACTGAAATTCTTTGGTGGGGAGCTTGCTAGTAGAATTCTGGAAATCCAAATTACACCGGACGGAAATGCGGACGTCCCAGAGCTGATCTGCTTGGCGCCCTGCAGCACGATTACTGCTATGGCCTACGCAGCTCGCATTTGGCATGGCGGCCCCAGGTTTGATTGGCTCAATAAACTTAAACTCCACTCGAGATAAAGGTTCTTTTGGTGGCGTATCATTTGGGACGCCATCCCCACCAATAGCTGGCTGTTCTGCAGGAGTCTTTCAGACAGCGGGCTTTGTCCTTGGGACTGCAATGCGGTGGAAGACCTCGAGCATTGCACTGTGCACTATGGATGGCTGAAACTTGTCTTTGGATGTCTGGTAGAGTGGGGAATTCACCTCCCGATCTTCTCATCCTTTGCAGAGCTGCTGCTCTCCATTAAACACCTGGCCGGATTGACCCCGCTTTCGGCCAAGATTTACTGTTATGTTGTCTACCAGACTTGGCGAGCTCGGAATGCCAAGAAACATGGCCGCCCCTTTGGCACTCCGAAAATCATTGCAGCAACGATCTTAACCCAGATCCCAAAGTCATTTTGCTTGCCACCTATGGAGCAATGGTGCGTCAATCAGCCCATTAGGCTGCCTTTATCCAAGTGAACCCCCCTCCCAAGTGGATCAAAATGAATTTTGATGCTTCTTTGCTACCTTCCAACCGTGCGGGGTTAGGCCTTGTGATCCGTGACGATGTGGGCCAATTGATTGTGGCGGCTGGCAAGATGATTGAGCATTGGGATCCCACAATGGTGGAGGTGCTTGCAGCTTTGGCCCTCAGAGATGTTCTTGAGGATTGGATGCTTGATTGTGATGGGATTTTGATCGAGGGTGACTGTACCGCTGCTATCAAGTGGCTTGAGGAGCTCTACGACCCCAAAAGCCTTCTCCACTGTCGGGAGGATAGACCTGACTGCTCTTTTTTGTGTAATTTTAAGCAAGTCATGTTTCAATGTATCCCTCGGCTAAGCAATAGGTCGGCCGACTTTTGTGCTAGTTTAGCTGTTTTTGGTAATTTCTGTTGGAAGGATGTCACTTGTAGCTCTTTCCCTCAACTCTTGTTGAGTTGTTAAGGGAAGAGAGTGATAGGATCTAGCTATTGTTTTGTAAGCTCCTTGTAATTTTCTTTCTTCATTAATGCGAAATGCAACTTTCAAGGAACCCAAAAACTTTGATTTCTCACAAGGTGCCTGCGGAGTCCTAAAAGCAACATCCACCAATCCCTGGTCGGCATCGGTTATGGTTGAGACTAGGACGGTATCTGATCGTCTTCGAGCCCCCAACTTTCGTTCTTGATTAATGAAAACATCCTTGGCAAATGCTTTCGCAGTGGTTCGTCTTTCATAAATCCAAGAATTTCACCTCTGACTATGAAATACGAATGCCCCCTACCGTCCCTCTTATTCATTACTCTGATCCTGAAGGCCAACACAGTAGGACCGAAATCATGTGGTGTCATCCCATGCTAATGTATCCAGAGCGTGGGATTACTTTGAGCACTCTAATTTCTTTAAAGTAACGGTGCCGGAGGCACGACCCGTCCAGTTAAGGCCAATAACGCATCGCCGGCATAAGGGACGAGGCGGGCGGTGCACACCATGAGGCGGACCGACCGACCCAACCCAAGGTCCAACTACGAGCTTTTTAACTCCAACAACTTAAATATACGCTATTGGAGCTGGAATTACCGCGGCTGCTGGCACCAGACTTGCCCTCCAATTGATCCTCATTAAGGGATTTAGATTGTACTCATTCCAATTACCAGACTCGAAGAGCCCGGTATTGTTATTTATTGTCACTACCTCCCCGTGTCAGGATTGGGTAATTTGCACGCCTGCTGCCTTCCTTGGATGTGGTAGCCGTCTCTCAGGCTCCCTCTCCGGAATCGAACCCTAATTCTCCGTCACCCGTCACCACCATGGTAGGCCCCTATCCTACCATCGAAAGTTGATAGGGCAGATATTCGAATGATGCGTCGCCGGCACAAGGGCCGTGCGATCCGACGAGTTATCATGAATCATCAGGGAAACGGGCATAAGCCCGCATCAGCCTTTTACCTAATAAATGCATCCCTTCCATAAGTCGGGGTTTTGGTGCACGTATTAGCTCTAGAATTACTACGGTTATCCGAGTAGCACGTACCATCAAACAAACTATAACTGATTTAATGAGCCATTCGCAGTTTCACAGTCTGAAATAGTTCATACTTACACATGCATGGCTTAATCTTTGAGACAAGCATATGACTACTGGCAGGATCAACCAGGTAGCACGTTCACGACACAACTATGATCTCAGCCCAACCCCAACAACAATATTGATGGTGGGATGGGAAAGAACCAAAGTCGCATAGAAGATATAAGGCAACATCACCTTTAAATTTACCAACCTGAGCAATGTGCTCAAGGCACCAAGGGCAATTTTCTCGAATGAGCCACATTTGCAACAATATAACGAGACCCAAAATCGACAGCCTAAGCCAAAAGATTGTCCTCAAATGACACCCTTAGCAAGGAGTACGTGGGTCTCATCCTATGAAGCAATCTCCACATCTTGAGAAAGGATGAAGAGATTACTCATAAAGAATTTCAAACAATTAATGCCACAAATAAAGGGATTCGCATCGCAAGCAACAATCATGGCTTTTTCATTGATCTTCATATTAATACGAGGACCATATAAATGAAAGGTCTACTATATTGATGGTTGGCCACACAAAGTAACCACCAATCAATTGAAGTAGAGTATACGACAACTCATGTGCCAATACGGTCTCAAGCACTTCCACATCAACAAGCCCAACGGCACCACCCAATGACGAAGAGTAAGCTAACTCCTACGACAGGCGAACCAAAGGGTCAAAGTGATGATGTGGACGGCGAGCTCCCGCAATGCACGAATAGTAGCTAGGTTTGGGCAAATTGAACATCCATATAAGACGTAAATAGCAAGCGACATAGGAAGCATATACTCCAATTATGCCAATGATTACACGTGACTTGGCACATCGATTTAATCTTCGGCATCCAACAATCGAAGGCAACAAGGGCCATTCCCTAACTGGCCGCTCAACTTCTGCGAGGAAAATTTTGCTACTCCTTTGCATGTCATCTTCCCTCTAAAAGGCAAACGGAGTGAGTTCTGAGAGAAAGATTTTGTCACTCCGCTGAATGTTCACCCTCCCTCTCTAATAGACAGACAAGGCTAACACCACCAAAAATGCCCCCGTAGTTCAAAATGGCTGCCAGCCATGGCCTCCGCACGCATCCATGGCCTCCGCACGCAGCCAACCAGGACCTCTGCAGGCAGCTAGCCATTGCCTCCGCACGCAGTCAGCCAGGACCTCCGCAGGCAGCAAGTCATGGCCTCTTCATGCTGCCAGCTAGGACCTCCACAGGCTGCCAGCTAGGGCCACCGCACGCTGCTATCCAGGGCCTCCGCAGGCTGCCAGCCATGGCCTCCGCCCGCAGGCTGAACGAACCGCCGCAAGCCTGATTATTCTTTCGTAACCAACAATCGTATCGTAGGCACAAGCGACTTGTCACTTCATTTATTAGAGGGTCTCTAAATATTGGCAAGAAGGGCCGAGACACACTTACAATTTCCATTAAGGGCCAATGTCACGCTGGCTTTGAGGGACAATTATGATCACATCTTATTATTTTTTTGCAACCAACAATCGAAGGCACAGGCAGCATGTCACCTCATTTTTTTTACAACCAATAATTGAAAGCACATGAAACAAGTGAAAGGACTGCTACGTATGGTGTCAAGCACTTCACATCAATAAGCCCAACGGCACCACCCAGTATCGAAGAGTAAGCAAACTCCTATGACAGGCGAACCAAAGGGTCAGAGTAAAGATGTGGACGGCAAGCTTCGGCCATACACGTATGGTCGATGAGTTTGGGACAGTTGAACATTCATAGAAGAAGTAAAATAATAAGCGACATAGGGTGCATATACTCTAATAATGCCAATGATGGCATGCGAATTGGCATATCATTTCAATCCTCCGTATCCGATAATTGATGGCAAGTGTCATCCCTCGCATGACAATCAAGTTCTGCCAGAAAGTTTTGTTACTCTTCTGTATGTTCAGCCTCCCCCTCTAATAGGCAGCCAAGGCTAATAACACCAAAAATGCCCCGGTAGTTCAAAATGGCCCAAAAAGCTTAAATTTTTTTTTGGCATAAAATTGCACATTTTGCTTGTGCATGCACACATGAGTTCCCAACCTGCTAACTCGATGCCAAAAAGTACTTATTTGAGTACTTATTAGTATATTTGAATGGCCTCCGTAGGCTGCCAGCCAGGGCCTCCGCACGTTAGCCGCCATGCCTTAGGCACGTCGGAGAATCCGACAATCGATGGCAAGTGTCATCCCTCGCATGACCATCAAGTTCTGTGAGAAAGATTTGTTACTCCGCTGTATGTTTAGCCTCCCCCTCTAATAGACAGACAAGGCTAATAACACCAAAAATGCCCCGGTAGTTCAAAATGGCCTAAAAAGCTTATATTTTGTTTGCCATAAAATTGCACATTTTGCTTGTGCATGCTCACATGAGTTCCCAACATGCCAACTCGATGCCAAAAAGCACTTATTTGAGTACTTGTTAGTACATTTGAATGGCCTCTGCAGGCTGCCAGCTAGGGCCTCCGCAAGCTTACAGCCAGGGCCTTCGCAGGCTGCCAGCTAGGGCCTCCATAGGCTGCCAGCCAGGGCCTCTGCACGTTAGCCTCCATGCCCTAGGCATGCCGGCTACCAGGCACAGGGCACGCTGGCTACACGAACCGCCACAAGTCTGATTTTTCTTTCGCAACCAACGATCGTATCGTAGGCACAAGTGACTTGTCACTTCATTTATTAGCAGATATATTTTTTCTCGTATGCAGCAAGATACATAAACCATGGGTACGTTGGCAAGCAGGGTCTCGAAATATTGGCAAGATGGGCCGAGGCACACTTTCAACTTCCATGTAAGGGCTAATGTAACGCTGACTTTGAGGGAAAATTATGATGTGTAACTTGGCACATCTGATTATTTTTTTGTAACCAATAATCGAAGGCACAAACAGCATGTCACTTCATTTTTTTCACA